ATACTTGTATTAAATAAATAGACAAATACATTCTGGGTTTAGATCTAGTATATCTTTAGATTTCTATATCACCCAGGAGAAGAGTGACTTTTGGCCATATCACCTAAAATATATCAAGGGTTGGACCGAATCTTTATCATTTGGAATTATGACATTTATTCTTCTGGTAAAGAACAAATAGACAAAAGAAGAAAACAGGTTTCATACATTTAGCATTCGTTCAATGGCCCTTGTTTTGTTTGGTTGTTGTTTTGCTTTCCACTAGATTATTTTAGAATAGAATAACAGAGTTGGAAGGGATCTTGGAGGTCATCTAGTCTAGGCATCTAGTCTAGGCATCGCCAACCGGGCCATGGAAGTGGTGGGTGAACACGTGAGCACACATAGCTCCATTTATGCAAACGGCAGGCACATGTAAATACATTCATTTTTTAAATTTAATAAATAATAATACGCTATGAGTAACTTGGTGCAATAAGAGCAAAACCAGAATAACTCATAGATAAAATGTTTCCCCAACCTCTTTGTACCCATTCAAGATGAGTGGGGAAACAAACCAGGAACAGTTCTTGGAAGAAAGCGATACTTGCCTTATACAAGCTGCAAACCAAATTGAAGAGAGAATCTTGTGCCTGAGTTTGAAGTTTTTCACTGTGTTCCTGAGAAAAATAAACAAAGTGGAGGGAGACATTTTCACCATGGCAGTAGACCAGTGAGTCTGGTTACTCTGCAAGCAGATTTCATCAAGAAACTTGAATACAGGAGGATTTTGATGAGGGGAAAATTAAACAGTATTTACAAAATGCCAACCTACCCAAGATATCTGATGAAACTGGGAAAATGTTGAAAAATCCTATAACAATGATGGAATTAACTGAAGCACTTAATAGACAGAATAACGGGAAAGCACCAGGACCAGATGGTTTCCCGGCAGAATTTTATAAAACATTACAAGAATCATTGAGCATTTCAATGTTAGAAATTATGAATGAAGTTATGATAAATAAGAAAATACCTAAAACATGGTCAGAAGCTTATATTACGCTTATTCCAAAAGAAGGGACTGACCCATCACAAATTAAGAATTATAGACCTATTTCTTTATTGAATGCAGATTATAAAATCTTTGCTTCAATTTTGGCAGAAAGGCTTAAAAAATACTTAAATAATTTTATTCATTCTGATCAGAATGGATTTCTACCAAAGAGACAAATTAAAGACAACATGAGAGTAATTTTGGACACTTTGGAATATTATGAGGCACACCCTGAAAAGCAAATGGCTTTGATATTTTTAGATGCTCAAAAGGCATTTGATAACGTGAATTGGAGATTTATGTTATTATTATTGGAACAGATGGGTTTTGCTAGAAAATTTATTCAAGCAATAGAAGCTATATATTATAAGCAAACAGCAAAAGTGATGATAGATGGAGAATTTACAGACTCTATCAATATTAAAAAAGGCACAAGACAAGGATGTCCACTATCCCCTTTGTTATTTGTATTGACTTTGGAAGTATTAAATAGAAATATTAGAGAGGATACAAATATAAAAGGAATGAAAGTTAAAAAGGAGGAATTTAAATTGCAAGCCTTTGCGGACGATTTGGTCTTTATTCTGGAAGATCCTCTAGAGACAGCTTTAAAACTACTGGAAAAGATAGAGACGTATGGTGAGATGGCTGGCTTGAAAATAAATAAAGACAAAACAAAGATTCTGACAAAAAATATGTTATTAAGGCAAAGAGAAGAGTTGGCAGACTTATTGAAAATTCAAGTTACGAATAAAGTTAAATACTTGGGGATAATTTTGACGTCAAGATGTACTACACTGAAAGAGAATAATTATATTAAACTTAAACAGCAGATAGCATCTGACTTGAAAAAATGGGAAAATCTACAATTATCTTTGATAGGTAGAATCTCAACAATTAAAATGAATATTTTACCCAGAATTTTATATTTGTTTCAAACAATACCAATTAGGCTTGGTAAAGACTATTTTGATGAATTAAATAAAATGGTGTTGAAGTATATATGGCAAGGTAAGAAAGCGAGAATAAAACTAAAACTTTTACAGGATGCTAGAATTAGAGGAGGATTTGGCCTTCCTAATTGGGAGTTGTATTATCAAGCTGCAAATTTAATGTGGGTTAAAGAATGGATAACGTTAAGAAAGTCTAGATTACTGGCATTGGAAGGACATGATTTATTATTGGGTTGGCATGCTTTTTTATGGTATAAGGGAACTAAATCGCAGGGTTATTTCAGAAGGCACTATATACGGGAATCGTTATGGTTGAATTGGGAGAAAATTAAGAAACAATGTTATTTGAAAATTCCAGTTTGGTTATCAACTATTGAAGCTTTTTCCTATCCCATAATTTATAAGAAGGAACAAACAGTTAGATATGGGGAAATACTGGATGAAAAGGGTGAACTTAAAACGATGCAAAAGCTAGAAGAACAAGATATAAAGATGAATTGGTTTTCATATGCGCAAATACACTCAAGGTATCTTAAAGATTCTAAAACAGAAGGATTTTATGATAAATTGACTGATTTAGATGGGATTTTGACAGGTGCTGATGAAAAAGTGATTAAAAAACTATATAGTTATTTGTTGGAAATTAAATTAGAGGAAGAACAAGTCAAAGAAACAATGATTGTTTGGGGGAAGAACTTTGGATATGGGATTGATTTAGAAAAATGGCAAAAATTGTGGTCTCAAAATTATAAAATGACAATGTCAGTAGCATATAAAGAAAACTTGTATAAGATGTTTTACAGGTGGCATTTTCCCCCGACAAGAATAGCAAGAATGTTCAAGAATAAATCCGAAAAGTGTTGGAAATGTCATCAGATCCCTGGCTCATATTACCATATGTGGTGGACTTGTGAGGAGGCCAAGAAATACTGGACTAGAATTCGCATATGGTTGGAAGAAATGACAAAAAAACATATAGATTTGAAACCAGAGATTTTTCTATTGGGAATCTTACCTGATACATTTAATAAAAACTTAAAGTATTTGATTGTAAATGTGTTAACAGCGGCTAGGATTGTATTTGCTAGAAATTGGAAGAGTGAGAAAATACCATTAGAGGAAGAAATTATTAAGAAAATATTGGAATGTGCTGAAATGAGTAGATTGACATTTGAAATTAGAGAACAAGAAGATAAACAATTCTATGAAGTTTGGGATCTTTTTTATCAATGGTTAGATAAAACAATATAATAATAGAATATATATATATTTTGGTTTTGATAATATTTTTAGAATATTATATTAAGATAGATTTGGTATGATTTTACGATTTGTTATAAATTAACTAAATTATAGTTATCTCGCTTAAGCATGAATTAGTTAAATTATAGTCAAATGATTGTTTAATAAGGATATTAGGATATATAATTGTTGATTGATAATATGAGTTATTATGTAACATAATTATTATGATGACTATGAAATAGATGCACAAAAAGGAGTGATAAACCAACCGATACACTGTCTGTAAATTTATGAAGAATGATGATGTTCTTATGTTATGTTTTATGTTTTATGTGTTTTTATTTGTTGTTAAAATCAATAAAACTTTTTAATTTAAGAAACTTGAATACAGGTAGTGCTTGACTTACGATCACAACTGAGCCGAAAATGTATGTTGCTAGGCGAACCATTTGTTAAGTGAATTTTGCTCCATTTCACGACCTTTCTTGCCACAGTGATTAAGTGAATCACCAAGGCTGTTAAGTTAGTAACGCAGTTGTTAAGTGAACCTGCCCTTTGCTTGTCACAAGATCGCAAGAGTTGATCACATGACCCCAGGACACTGCAAGCATCGTAAATATGAACCAGTTGCCAAGTGTCCAAATTTTGACCACAGGGCCATAGAGATGTAGCAGTGGTTCCAAGGGTGAAAAACCTTCATCACTTTTTTTCATTGCCACTGTAACTTTGACTGGTCACTAAATGAACTGTTGTAAGTCCAGGACTTACAACACTGTGCAAAATATTTAAGGATTGAGCTCAAATGCTCAAGACAGTCATACTTCATAGCACATTCCGGTCTACCCACTGCGAAGAGGAAAGATCGGGACAGCGTGGCTTCAGCCCGGTGTACCACATGCCAGCAGTTTGGGGAGTGGTGTCAAACTGGCCACGCCTGCTGAGTCAATCAGCCCCCCCCCGGTGCCCCCAAGGTCAATCACAGCCCTGATGTGGCCCTCAATGAAATTGAGTTTGACACTCCTGCTTTACATTGTGGTTTAGCAACAACTTCTTTGCAAAGCTTGCTATATCTGTGGTTTCTAGAAGATTAGCATGATGGTGTCTCCGAGGTTTCTGGCAGACGTTTCATTACCAAGCTAGGTAACATCCCCATTGCAGTACCAAGCTCAGAGAGCACCCAGAACCCCAGAGGTCAATCCTGGACTACAATTCTAAGATTAACACAAGAAGAGACAAGGAGGGAACATTATCTCCCGCTTCCATTAACACTTACCCCGTTGATGAGAATCCATGGCACATACTCATGATGTGGCTTCAGAGCCCTGGTGAGTTCAGCATTCCTATGCATAAGCTTGTTACCTAGGTCTCCAGTCACACATGCATTGATATCTGCTAAGGAGGCGTTAGGAGCATACAATTTCAGGCACTGCAGAAACAGAACGGACAATCCTTATTGCTTTGAAACAAGAACGAGCAATTTTATTAAACCCATTTCATTGATCCCTGGAACCTCTAATCACAACCGCTAAAAGATGAAGGTGGATTTGACTGCCTTTGTAAATCCTGCTGCTATAGAAGCTAATGTATTATTGGGGCTCTCTCTGACCCATCCAGCTTATAAAAATGAGCAAAGAAATGAAACACAAATGCTACATGAGTTCCTGGGGGAAAAGGTAGGATAATAATTTAACAATAAATTATTATTACTACATTTGTGCAATGTACAGTTTGCTTTCAATCCACTGGGCACTTATGGCAGGGATCCCGAACCCCTAGTCCACAGTCCGCTACAGTCCATGGCCTATTGGGAACTGGCAGGCGAGCACGCAAAGCTCCATTTGAGCATGCATGGAATTAGGTGGCACACACGAAACAGTGGTGGGATTCAAATTTTTTTACTACCGGTTCTGTGGCCGTGTCTAGGTGGGTGTAGCAGGGGAAGGATACTGTAAAATCTCCAGTCAGAGGTGTGGCATTTGCCGGTTCTTTGAACTACTCAAAATTTCCGCTACCAGTTCTCCAGAACTGGTCAGAACCTGGTGAATACCACCTCTGACGCGAAACCATTCCCTTCCTCCACTGCTGCCAATCCACGGAGCCAGAAAGATTGAGGATGGCTGACTTATGGCATCTAACATATATCAGGTAGTTCTTGGTTACTGACCACTTCTTCAGCAACCATTAGAATTTATAAAGGTGCCAAGGGAGGGATACTTACAACCGGTCCTCAAAGTTCCACTGACTGCAACATCCCATGGCCATGGGACTGCAATCTGCAACCTTTCCTGACGGCTTCCCCCAAGCAAAATCAACGGGGAAGCCAGCAGGAAATCAGAAGTCAGAATCAGGGAGGGGGATCGCTTAACACCCCACTGCAACCAGGGTCTGTTGGGACTGCCATGGCTAAATGCATGGTCACATGACATCCTGCTTTATGACTGCATCCCTTAGTAACAGAAATTCCATTCCCAATTACCATCATTAAGCAAATTAAATTGAAATTTAAATGATTATTAGCAGAATTCAACCAGTGGGACAGAAGAGGAGAAACTTCCTTGACAGTGGAAATGGGACCCCATATAACTCTCCAAGAAGTTAATTTTGTAACCTAGGAGCTTCAATTTTACTATCAGGGACTACCATCAAAACTTTTCTGACCATACTGTATGCAAGATAATTTGTGTATTTCCTGAGCTAAAGGACATGAAGCATTTTAAAGTCCTGAGCAATGAGACGCTGTTTGGAAGAGGCTCAGGCGGTTACCACTGTCAACCCTGAAGCAGACCTGGCCAAGGCCATCTTTGTAGCTTCAGGGTTGCCACAAGGCAGAAGAGGGGATGAGGAGTGGGGAATAGTTTGCTGGGGTTATGCCGTCAAAACAAAAAGGTTTCCTAGTCATTCCAACAGGTGGCTTGGAGAGGAGGAGTGGAGTAACCAAGCAAGCAGCCAGAACCTCTGTTGGACAATGTCACTGATGACACGGGGAGGGGGGGGGAAACTTTCACTTTTCAATTAGGTGAAAACCGTGGGAACTTTCAGAGTCGGTTTTCACCGGTTGTGCCAATACGATGCAGCCAAATACATTGTTCTTTGAGGAATCTACCTACCTCGGAGTTCTTTTTCTGAATGTGTAAATGACTTGGAATGTTGACAATTTCCCGGATTCGCCCGAGTATAAGAAGGGGGAGGTGGAAGGTTTGCAAGATGGTATTAGGATAAAGACAAGCTCAATAAAACTAGCATTGGTCTTCCAGCAGAACTGGTTTTCTAGACTGGCCTACCTAGTGGAATTCACACATACACTGTGGACACCCTGCTTGCTAAGATGTTTTTTTCGTTTTCCCAGTCATATTCAGCTTTTGCTTATTCTATTTAATTTCATTCTTTATTTATTCTCTTTACAGAATCCAGCATTCCTGGCTTCGGTGTTTCTAAACAGGCAGTGGCCATCTTTGTTATGGGTAAAATAAATGCCTTGGCATGGCACAATCCCTCAGCCACGTTAAAACCGTGTGTTCAGCCTTAGTTCTACCATCCCTCCGTCCGATGTCTCCTTGTGATCCCCCATCAGATCAGAATTGCAGGAAGGCCCGTTGCATACCAGTGGCAAGCTGGCGATGACATCTGAACTTGATTCCATGCAGAAGGTGAGCGGAAAAGCGTATACCGGATACAGGTGGTTGATACAAGCCTGGTGAAGGCAAAGCACAAGGGTTAGGGAGGGCTTTCCACACAGTACGGTCAGAAGATCAAGTGTATAACTACAACACACATCTACACCAAGGTAGTCTGTGCAACGGGCATAAAAAAAGGGGGTAGAGCTTCCACTGCACCACTATGGTTGCCATCTTGACTTTTTTGACCACACCTTCAAACACCCCTGCAGTGGGGGCACAAGAAGAGATGGGGAGGAGGGTGCAGAACAGTGAGAAACCATCCAGAGGAGAATGCCTGTGCCATGGATTTAGGCACTCTTAAATCCTATTGTCAAAACTTTAATTTTAGTTTACTTTATTGTCATTGCACATCATACAACGAAATTAAATGCCATCTTCAGTGTACATTATGACTATGAAAATAAATACAAACACACATCCTTCACATTCTGGACACTGAATTGAAAACCCCTGATTAATTAAAGTTAAGACATAGAACCAATATCTAAAAACAAGCTACCGTATTTTGGGGGAGTATAAGACACACTTTTTCCACCTCCCAAAAGTGGGTGGAAATGTCTGTGCGTTTTATACACCGAATGTTGCCAAAGCCCTGCCCACCCACTGGCCCCCACCCTTTGGCCTCTGCCTCCCAGCAATTTGACTCCTTGTAGCAAACAGCAAACAACCTGTTTCAGTTTTAACACAGCCTGATTGGCACAAGAAGCTGATTGTTGGTTGGATCGGCTTCCCAATGATCAGCTGTTTCAGGCTGCAGGGATTGCCATTGCCTATTGCTGCCTCCGTATCTCAATTTTGGCCTCCACACGCCCCATTTTCAGCCTTCATGCACCCCATTTTCTGCCTGTTCTGATCCCCGCCTCCTGGAACGGGTCAAAAATGAGGCATGCAGAGGCCAAAAACGGGGCGTGCGGAGGCTGAAAACTGGATACAGACGACAAAACTGGTGTCTGCAAAGCTGGCTGAGGAACTCTGGGAGTTGGAGACCCTTGCTCTAGCGCATGCTGCTGTGTACATACAGGAAGGCATTTCCAAGTTGCAACATGGGCCAGGTTGATCTGCTCCAAGCGGTCATTCCCACATCCCATCCCACTCCCGACTAGTCTCACTTTGATTCTACAAGCACAAACCTCTATCATGTTCCCCAAGCATTCCTCTTCGCCATGCTGGCATTCAAAGTGCCATTTTGTGGCCTCTTTCCTCTCCTGTAAGACGATAAATGGAGGGGATGAGAAATCTGGACAAGGAATCATCTCCATAACATCTTCAGTCATTCTGCTGCAACCCAGGGATATTCTCCTACCTCTGCATTCCCGTAGGGGACTAAAGTGACGTTCATGATATCGTTTAGCATCAGCCAAGTGGGAAAGAGCATCAGCACAAGAAATTGGCGGCAACCGGGACAGAGGGATTCATAGTAGAGGCTGACAGAGACAGGATCAGCTTTCAGAGAGTTCGAGATCAACCTGGTGCAATGCTTCTCCACCTGCAAGAAAGCAAAGTCTGCATCAAGACAGGGTGTTCGTGGTTTGACCGCCGGCTATGCCACCAAACTAAGAAAACAGTTGTCTTCCTTGGACAGGGATGAAGAAAATACTTCTCCTGGCTCATTCAAAAAACCTTTAAATGGTTGGTGGAAAAAAAAATCAGCATCTGGACAAGTCTGTCATGAGAAGGCAGTTCCTTCTCCAATCTTGTGGGTTCGTTTCAGAAGTGGTATTCAGCAGGTTCTGACAGGTTCTGGAGAACCAGTAGCGGAAATTTTGAGTAGTTTGGAGAACTGGCAAATGCCACCTCTGACTGGCCCCGCCCCCATCTCTTCTCTGCCACCCGGGTCCCAGCTGATTGGCAGGATCTTCTTTTGTTGCCCTGCACAGGAGAACGGAGCTGGAAAGGAGGTTAGTGGGGTGGGGAGGGAATGGGGATTTTGCAGTAACCTTCCCCTGCCATGCCCCTCAAGCCACACCCACCAAGCTATGCCCCTAGAACTTGTAGTAACATTTTTTGAATCCCACCATTACCTACAAGATCCCTTCCAACTCTGTTAATCTTATATTTGTCCCCTGTGGAAACTGCAACTGGAAAAAAAAAATGCAGATATTCCTCCATTTATGAAATCAATCAGGACCAGAATTTCCCTTGCTAAGTAAGAGGGTTGTTAATAAAGTTTTGCCTGCTTGCATGACTTTTTTTTGCCATGGTTAAGCAAATCCAACTTCCCCCATTGACACCTGACCCATCACAAGGCTTCACCTGATGTGACCCTCACCAGATTTGACCTCCCCATCACAAAACCTAGTGACCACATACTGACAGTGACATCCCCCTAAATTCTGCCTGAAGTTACCGAGGCTGGTAATGAAATGTTTGGAAACCAATCTACAAGCTTGGAGGATGAACCTCCACCCTCATCCTACACCCAGGCTGTAGGTATTGGCAAGTCTGTCATGCTAGAGAAAAACGCCCTGCTACGGCATCCATCAATATAGTGTTACCAGAGAGTTGAAATGGATGGTTCTTCAGCAGAGGTGGGTTTCAAACATTTTTCCTACCAGTTTGGTGTGAGTGCGCGCTCCAAGTGTGCACTTTGCATGCAGCATTTGCAACTCACCTTCTGCTGCAAGCCCTGTGTGTAAAACAGCTGACGTGCGGCACACAAAACAGTGTGCCACACAAAGCAGCTGAGGTTGAAAAGCAGGAAATAAAGGTAAGAATAGAGCCGGGGCAGGTGCTACCGGTTCAGCCAAACCGGACCGAACCGGTAAAATACCACCACTGTTTCTCAGGTGCTGCCATCTACTTATCCTCTGTAACCATGGGAATCCATTACATGACCTACGATAACTTTGAAAATGCAAAGAGGTTTGTAAGGGAGATGGAAATCCAAGTACTTGTGAGTAATCACTTTGCTAGAAGAATAGGCAAGCATTTCACAGAGAGTTGCAAGTTGGCTATAGATCTTGTCTTCATGAAGATGTTCCACCTATAAAATATCATCCCCTTGAAAGCCAACACCTGCAAAGGTTTTAAAGTTGGGATTTGGGGGGGGGCTGTCTGTGTAACAGAGTTGGCCAATTGTTTCAGGAGATTGGACTTCTCCTCTGTCTTTTGTTGTTCTTCCCTTTCAGCCTGTCCCCAGTCAGCATGGACCTCATCCATCATTAAGACCTCTGCAGCTCCGATTGGGAAGGTCTGGCTTCAGGACAGGTTGCCTGTCTTGTGGAGTTTTTGTTGCTCTCTGAGCTGTTTGTTTCCCTTGCAGGTGTTTCATTATCCAACTAGGTAAGATCTTCAGTGCTAGAAGAGTAATGTTACCTAATTGGGCAATGAAATGTCTGCAAGAAAACCACCAAGCTCTCAGAAAGCACCAAGGATTCCAAAATTCATCCATGAGTTACAAATATTTCCTTGTGTCACTGGTGTCACTGTTCCTCTTTTCACACACCTTTGGGGCCAGCCCTCAAGTGTGGAACCACGTGAAATTAACAAACAAGAGAGAAGGGGTGTGCATGTTCTTTTCTTTTTTATGGTTATAATGGTTTTATTTAGCATTCAACGCTAATCCTTTCTATACTATTTCCACTGTATTCAATTTACGATCTGTTTCCCCTGAGTCCTGACGTACTCAAGTCTTATATAACAACATAAGCAAAAGTATATACACTTTTTCAAGCCATTTGGGGTATTTAAAAAAACAATCTTTCATTCATTGCTACAAACCCCTTGCTGCCCAATAACTTTCTATCAGCATTCAATATCTTAAAATTTCTCCATCTATTTTGTCACCTTTATTAAACATTTTACCATGATCGGCAAATGCATTTGCTTTCTCTAATCAAACTACTTTCTTCTCTGTCAAACATAACGATCTGGTTTATGGTTACTTTAATTTTCAGATCCTTAATTTTCAGTTCCTGTTGAATGTTGTGTAGCTCATACGATCTACTTAACATTCATTGCAAACCATCCAAGTTTATTTATTTTATTTGTTTGTTTGTCAAGCATGTATGAGAAAACAAGTATAAGTATGAACATAACATATAAACATCTAAGTATAAACAGGTATAAGTATATACATGAGTACGAATAAATGGATAATGGGAATAGTAGGACAGGGATGATAGACACTCTAGTGCAGGGGTCTCCAACCTTGGCAAGTTTAAGCCTGGAAGACTTCAACTCCCAGAATTCCCCAGCCAGCTTTGCTACCGTAATTTGAAGTCCTCCAGGCTTAAACTTGCCAAGGTTGGAGACCCCTGCTCTAGTGCACTTATGCACGCCCCCTTACAGACCTCTTAGGAATGGAGCGAGGTCCAGTGTGTTCGTTCCATAGCCAATATGAACTGTTACAAACACAGCCTAATTCAGTGGTGACTAACCTTTTTGGGCTCCTGTGCTGAAAATTGCACGCACGCTCGCACTTGCTCGCATGCCAGCACCCAGAAGGCAATGCGCGCAGGCCCCCCATGCCCCCCGTGCATGCGAATGCGATCCCGTCACCCCGTTACCTGCACTGCACATGCCTCCTAGCTGATTTTCAGGCCTTTTTCAACCTCCCAGAGGCTCAAAGGAAACCTCTGCAGCCTTTGGAGTCCGAAAAATGGGTCCGTTTCATCACTTCTGGTATTTCTGGAAATGACGAAACGGGCCTGTTTTTTTGGCCTCCAAAGTCTGCAGAGGCTTCCCTCGAGCTTCTGGGAGGCAGAAAAAGGCCCCCAAAATCAGCTGGGAGGCGCACGCATGCGCAGTGAGGTAAATTTGCCTGGGGCTCGCGTGGCTGCACAAATGGCTCTGCATGCCATCTATGGCACGCGTGCCACAAGTTCACCATCACGGGCCTAATTGTTATACAATACACAGGTCTAATTGCGAAAGGTTGTGCCAAGGAAGGGTGACAACAAAAACAGAAAATAAAGCTCAAATGCTTTGATTCACCCCTCCCCTCCCAAGAATTCAGCCACCTCCTTTCCTAGTAAGAAGAAGTGAAAGTGTGGGGCTTTGCCAAAAAGGGAGCTGATTCATTTTACGCAACGGTGGGGTTTTCTGTCTGGAATTTTCCCTAATAAGATGTTCTGAGCCAAGGGAGGCTACAAAAAAAAAAGTCTCTTTTATTGCAATCCAGCCTTATTTTACTGCGAACAGAGAGAGTCAGAAGTCAATGATGATGCTTCATTTTTCTTCTTCTTCTTATCCTTCCTCCCTTCTCTTCCCCCTTTTCCTCCCCACGGCTGTTCTATTTACTTTTATATTTTACAATGTTTTATAACTCAGTAAAATGTTAACCTGGCCAAAAAAAACTTACGACCCCCAATTGGGGTCAGAACTTTCCTCACTAAGCAATGTGGCCATGAAGTGAATCACGCCCGATTTAAACAAACTTTTTTTGTTGCAGTTGTTATGCAAAACCACTGCAGACATTGAATGAATCACGAATCAGTTCTCAAGCAGATCCAATCCCCCCCCACTGACTTTGCTTGCTGGAAGACCCCCTGGGAAGGCTGCAGATGGTGACCATGAAACCCCCCCACAGGACAAAGCAACTCTCTTAAATATATGCAGGGCCAGGGCTGCTGGGGGTTCGCAGGGGTTCAGGAGATCCCCGGCTAAGATTCTGCGCAGTTCGGAGAACCTCCAAATCCCACTCCTGGCTGGCCCCGCCCAGCCCGCCCCTCCCAGGAGTCCCCACGTGGCCTGTTTTGGATGCAGGTAAGTGCAGGGGGCGCGTGGAAGCTCGGGGAGGGTGAAAAGCAGGCCTAGAAGTTCAGGAAGGCCAGAAATTGGCCCATTTCTAGCTTCCAGAGAGCCTCCAGGGCCTGGGAGGCCATTTTCACCCTCCCAAAGGCTTAAGGAAAGCCTCCTGAGTCTGGTGATGGGCAAAAATGTGTCGTCCCCCCCATGGTGTAGGAGGCTGACTAGGCCACGCCCACCATGGCCATGCACACCCAGCAACTGGGCAGAGAACTCCTTGCTAAAAAATTTGAAGCCCACCCCTGAATACAGGTTACATGGACTGGTCAATCGCCTTCCTTTGTCAACTAATTTCAGTGGGGTTAAAACTGCCTCCTTGGACATTTTTCTTGCTTCCCTCCTTAAATTTTTAAAAACAATTTTAGACATTTTAATTCTAACAGTCGAACAATTTAATTTTTATACACTGGTTCATATTTTGATGCCCAGAATCCCTCTTTGAAGGAGGTGGGTGGCTCCGAGATGTAATCAATGAATCAGTTTTTTGAATGGCAATCCTATAATTTTGCATGTTGTTAAACAAATGATCTTAAGTCAAGAACCACCCCTGCTAACTTCCTTAGGTCCAGAATTGGTAAGAACCCTAGCTCAGTTCTGAAATAAAATTCCTTTCAATGTTTATTTGAAAGGCTGTTCCATTACAAAAGTGCCATTAGTTCTAATTCAAAAATAAAGTTGGAGGAATGGAGAGATCCTTGTGTGATTCTTGTGTGGTTATCTAAATTGTGCTTCGCCATTGTCTGTTTAGCCATTAGCTGAGTATGCCCGATACACATAAAACTTAAATCATGATTTACAAACCAAATGGAAGTATTTGCCTAACTTAAGAAGCTGTGATGACTCAGGGCGTGGCACAAAGGCAACACAGTCAGATAATCAGTAGGAGTCCCTTTATTAGCTCTAACTTTGCCCCCAGTGTCCTGGTTACTTTCTGGTCTGGAGAAAAACTCTTCCAGAAACAGCCTTTGGCTGAAAAGATTCAAGTCCAAAACGTTATTTAAAAAAAACTGTAACTATAAGTCCAATCAAGGCAAGATGTGGTAATTAATCCGGCAGGGCACATATAAGGAATTCCAGAAGTGAAGGAACGGCAGTAAATCAACCCAGTTGGGAGGATGCCAGGAATGCAGATAACCACAGTCAACACAAGATAAACTCATGTTTGTTCCCAAAAAACACCACTCTCATCTTGCATCTCTTTTAAACTCTCTTCCCAGGTGTGCCTAATGAAGGGAATCGGGGCCCTTTCCTCCTCCATAAGCCACGCAACCCACGTTGCTCTCTTCTCCATTTTTCCCTGTGTGCCCTAGGATGAAGAGGGGGTGGGCCTGGGTCTTCCTCTGAACCCCCTCTCCCTTGTTCTACCTCTCTCCTGCTCTGCCCAGCTGGATTTTGCCCTTCCCCAGTTTCCTCCACAGTCAACTCCTTGTCAGCTGTTCATCTTCCTCCTCAGATTCAGACTACGACAGGGGCATGACAGAAGCCATCATTTACCCTGTATTTGCTTTTTTTTAAAAAAAGTACATTGAGGAACCACTTTTGAGCATGAGGTGGTAATTAAAAAACACTGCAGGAACAGACCGGACGCCTGTAGAATATTAAAATAAGGATGTGATTTGCTTATGGAATAGCTGCAGAACTTATTTTAATTGGCATTAGGAATTCACCTATGCCTGGCAATTAGCAGAACGCCATTACTGTTCCCTATTCAAACTGAAAGGTAGCACAATTGTATGCCAGCTGACAGAAAACTTAGTATATGGTTGTAGATTTAGAGAAAGGGTACCAAAATGTGAATAGGCTTGAATTAAACCACTCCTGAACTTTTGCCAAGAAAAATACATGGATTAGTCCAGGCAGTTGCCAGGAGTCAATGTTGACTCAAATGGCATGCGCGCGCACACACACACACACACACACAAACGTTCTTCATGGCAGATTTGCAGTCGGACGTTAGCTACTAAATGCAGTAACAGCAGTTTATGATTTAAGTAAATTATAAGGTAGGGAGATAGATAGATAGGTAGGGAGATGATAGATAAATATGTATTAGTGTATGACCATGGTGAAAGGAAGGATAATTTATAAGGGTGGAACAGTAACAGATTTAACAGATAATTAAAGTTGGAAGGGACTTTTTAAGTCATCTAGTCCACCCCCAAGCCAGAGACCCTACACCATTTCTGACAAATGGCAGTCCAGTCTCTTCTTGAAAGCCTCCAGTGATGAAGCTCTCACAACTTCTGAAGGCAAGCTGTTCCGTTGGTTGGTTGTTCTCACCGTCAGAAAATTTCTTCTTATTTCTAGGTTAAATCTCTCCTTGTTCAGTTTCCATCCATTATTACTTGTCTGGCCTTTGGGTGCTTTGGAAAATAGCTTGACCCCTTCCTCTCTGTGGCAGTCCCTCAAATATTGGAACACTGCTATCATGTCTCCCCTGGTCCTTCTCTTCACTAGACTAGACATGATTGGTATGATTTTGCAGTATTTTGTTTGCTTCTTTTAAAAATGTATTTGACTATTGCTCACCCGTGTTCTGCACTTTGCACTAGAATATAATTCAGATGCATCACAATACAATTTTCATCACAGCCAGTCAATGGGGCCCACACATCTAGAGAGTAAATGAAGCAAAAGGGGATGTTTTGAAACAGGAGTAGCTGGGGAATTCTGGGAGTTAAAGCCCACAAGTTTTAAAGTTGCCAAGGCTGGTCGCCCTTGTTTTAAAAACTTGGAGAGATGCTGGTTTCTACACAATTTAGGCTGATTTCTGCAAGACCGTTTTTAATAAATACTATATACTGCCTTTTATTTCCTGATCAAGCCTGCTGTTTCCACCCCCCCTATTCCTTTTGCAAAGGTTCCGGGAATTTCTGCCTACTCCCTGCCCTCCCCATTGCTTAGCTGGGAGAAATTAAAAACCCAAGTTCTCTGGCATTAAAGGAGGAGCAGCAAGGGAATAAACAACAACGATTTGCAACTTATTAGTGAGCTATGGCTTCCCTTGGATAATGAGTTATATTTAACACCAGCACGGGCTTAAGAAACTTACTCATAGATTTCACCTTGTCAGGAAGCATTTTAAAAGAAATATCTGGCCAACTCCTATGATTGGGGTAAGAGAGTTATGAAGAACTTCCCTTTTTCAGGGAATGTCATGGGTTTGGACTTCAGACTTGCTGTTATGAATTTCTTCCATGTGGTTGTCTTCTGCAAGAAACTCAGGAATGTGAAGGAAAAACACAGTAACCACCTGGTGATTCTTCATTCACAGCATGAGTTCTTTGGAAGCCCTGACTCAAAAGTCCTCTGCTTGGTTTCACAGCCTGCCTTCCTTCCTTCCTTCCTTCCTTCCTTCCTTCCTTCCTTCCCTCCCTCCCCTCTTTTTTCTGGCATTCATAAGATAATAAGATCAATACCGCAGACCAACCTTTACCACACATAGGTCTCCCTATTGCTTTTCTGCTGGAGAATAAACTGTATCAATAAAAGAGAATATCTGTAGCCCAGAGTTGAAATGAGGGCTGCACTGATAAGGTTACCTACTTTAATAAAGGAGAATATTTGTAGCTCAGGGATGAAATGAGGGGTGCACTGATGATGTTACCTAGAGTTTGGGCAATGAAAAGTCTACAAGAAAACCACCAAGCTCAGGGAGCACCAAGGACACCCCCCCTCCCTAGAATAAAAACATCTTTTTCGGTGTGGATCCTTTTCTACCATCTTGACCAGAGAGGTCTCCAAACTTGGCAAAACTTTAAGACTTGTGGACTTCAACGCCCAGAATTTTTTGGCTGGAGAATTCTGGGCATTGGAAGTCCACAAGTCTTCAACTTGTCAAAGTTTGGGGATCCCCTGATCTTGACCGTTTGAGCTGCTTGCCTTTTTTCCTTTCTTTGAACGGTTTTTTTTTTAGAATGGCCTTGTTCTTTTTGGCAAAGCGGAGAGAGGCAGCGCGGGAAAGGTTCTGACTCAGGACGGAGAGATCTGGGTTCCCAGCCTCTCACGGGCACCCAAAAGCCAACTGGACCAGGGGTCTCCAACCTTGGCCCCTTTAAGCCTGGCGGACTTCAACTCCCAGAATTCCCCAGCCAGCA